GGTTACTCGGAGAAGCAAAAAACAAAATTTTGCGACTAGAAGCAGTACAAAGGCTTAATATAGGGCAATGGCACAAGGAGTTTGTGAAATTTTATGGCTTAAAAGAATTCTAGAAGAATTGCAACTTTAGATGACCCTACCCATGAAGTTGTATTGTGACAACAAGGTTGCAATTAGTATTTTCCAAAATCCAATTCAACATGATCAAACCAATCATGTAGAAAATGACAAACATTTTATAAAAGAGAAGGTGGATGTAGGTCAAATTTGCATGCTATTTGTTCCTTCTTCATAGCAAGCAGCATACATTCTTACAAAAGGACTATTTAGGCCTAATTTTGAATTATTTGTCAGTAAGTTGGGCATGTTAGACATCTATGCATCAACTTGACAGGTGTTGACAGTTGAATATATTTTTTATTTAATTGTAAATTTGGATAGTTAAGATCAAAATCTGGCATACTTTGATTTGATTTTATTCTCTTTTATCATAGGAGATTTAGTTAGATGGGTCAATATTAGATTATTCAAATTTGATTTGATTCTCCTTTATTTTCTTTTCTTTATCTTATCTTTACATTTATAGGATTTCTTCTAATCATCTCTATCAATATAATCCCCTCATGCAATTATGATCAATGTACAAAAATAAAGATTTTTTTCTTCTCTAAATTACATATACCAATTCCCAGTGAAGAAACGGTGTTTTGTGCAATACCAATGAACTGACCAAGCACATGAAAAATTTGGCTGTAATATGGACCTTCCTCTTTTATTTATCAATTGCTTCAAGTGAAAAACATTAGAAACAAATAAAACCAGTGACCAAAATGGCAAACCTCAGCATCAAATCCCAAATGGAGATGCATGAACGAATCGCATTGAGGAGTCATGTTAATCCTATCTGAGTAAGACTTTGGAACAACTTCTTTAGGTAGCAATTTTAAAGTGTCCCACATTGATGCATTGCTGACAACAGCCTTTTTAGCGCGTATGAACTGCAGAATACATAAATAGATGTTATCATTCCAAAAAAAGCTGATCTTTGTGCCTTTTCTTGTCAATCAAAATATACTCACTTGACCACTTCTCAGTTTGACTCCAATGGCTCTGTCATTTTCAACAACAATCTCTTCCACATGACTTTGAAGATAAATTCTTCCCCCAAATTTCTCTAGTCCCCGCACAAGAGCATCAACAATAGCTGCACTTCCATGAAGGGGGTACTCAAGGCAGCATCCCGGTTTGTACCATTCTGCAAACATGTAAACCTGAAAAGTTGGGGGGGAAATTGTTTAGACATCAATAAAATAAAATTTCAGTAACAAAGGTGTCACTATATTAGTACTCTTAACGCTTCAACCAGCAGTGTTCATTAACTCCCTATACCATTTCTTTGGAAGATGTTAAAAATGTAAAAGATCAATGTTCTACAATCTGTTGTGAAATCAAAATTTAACAAGCCCTTTAAAGATTGACATGCTATTGCTATGCAGCACCAAGTACCCTTCACCGTAACTGTAAATTTCTGTTCTATAAAGATGAATAAAGAAAGGCAAATATGTAAAGACAATCGAATTGCATGAAGAGTATCATTTCACCAGTATTTCTCCCGTCTTTTGTGTATGTGTAGGCTTCTTATGGCCATATGATAAGGATATTGATGTGCTAATAAGGAGGGATGTAAATTTATAATTCTTGTAGTATGTACATATAAAAATTGAGAAATTGTGGATTAGGAAATAAATAATATTAAGCCCCATACTGTTTGGGCCTTCGGTGATATGTCTTGAAAGGCCTATCCCACTTAGAATGTATATTCCTATCAGGAACGCTATGGAGCAAAACTCTTGAATGGAACACAGTTGCCGAATTGTGTCAAGTAAGACATTGACAAGTGATAATGATTATTTAAGATAGGTGAAAGAATAGTATGACATGACATGAGATGTAGTTACCATCTCAGCTGAGAGTACAGCATTAGCCTTGACCCCAGCAAGCAAGAATGCGAGGAGGTCAATCCAATTCCGTATGAAAGGGTCTTTAAGTTGCAAATCATCAAGTATTTCCGAGAAAGGTCTGAGGAGTTTTGTGGCCCCAAGAGCACCTCGAGGTCCCAGTTGAAGAAAGGATTTTAAGAGAGAGGGGGCATATCTAGCTGCAGCAGTGGAAACAACACCCAAGTCTCCTCGAATAGATAGAGGGGGAAGAGCCATTGCAGCTGTAGATAATGGAAGTACAGCATCCTGTGGAAGTCAAACAAATTACATTACAACACTTTTGGAATATTGGGCGAAGAGAAGACTGAAGAGAACTGACTAGAAGTTTCCGCCATTCATGTACAGCATCTGGACCTGCATACTGGTGAAGGTCCTGCAAATAATTCAACCTTGAACGAGTGGAACAGAAACTGAATTGAACATATAGAGTAAATAAGGCTTCCTTGTTCCACCTTGAAAAATTCTGTGGGCCCTATGCGCGACAAGAATTCACCTTCGGGTATGTAGACCATCCAGGAATCATACGTAGCGCATGGTAGAGACTCGCCCAATGCATCCAAAACCTGTGCAAGAGGATTAGCCTGAGGACCCCTTGATTGCAAGCCAGAGAACAACGATGGCCCAGAATCAAAGTTGTAGCCTTTGATATTAAAAGAATGGGCAGCACCACCGGGTTGGTCATGGCTTTCCACGACCACCACGTCTTGCTCGTATCTTGCCAACAGTGATGCACAGCACAGTCCACCAACGCCACTCCCAATAACAACAACATCAGCTTCTTCCTTAGACTTAGACTTATTCACACCGTTACGGTATGAACTGTAACATCTCACCAAATTAGGAGCAGCCATCATCATAGCCATCGTCACCACCAATTTCCCTTCTCATCTCAACTCACCTCATTTTGTAGTTCTTAAATTAGCCACGTCACCACCAACTTCCTCTGCGTAAATCTTTTTCATCCTTTCATTGCATTATATGAATTGAACCGTTATTCACACGCAACAATTCACATGAATTCAAAATAATTTATCCCAGATAATTTTTTCACAGAATTTGATTTTGTGCCACACAACTACATGGAACTTAAAAAATATATATTTAATTTATCAATGAATGACAATGAATTAAAAATATTTTAAAATATATTTTATTTAAAAGTAAATTTTTTTTATGAATAATTATATTTAAAATTTATTTTTAAATCTTATAATAATTATTCTTTAACATATCAAGTTAAATATTCTAAATTAATATAAAAAAAATGATATTATAATATTTATATCTTTAAGAGTAAAAGTATAATTTATTTAATATTTTAACATGAATAGTAGATAGTTGAATGCTTACATCTATCAAAGAGGAGTATAGTTTACATTAACAGAATCAAGTTAAATAAATTAAATTGTATATTTTAACATAAGAAAAGATGATAGTGTTAGAAAAAGATAATGAAATTTACTCTTAATTAAATTGTACAATTAATGAAGTATATGTATTTTTATGATATATATATATATATATATATATATATATTAAGATATATGATATTAATAAATATTTATACCATTATATTAATTTGTATTGATGTAAAATATAATTCAAATTTATCTTTAAAATATACCCAATCTAATTTCTCAAATTTAAAATGATCAAAAGTCTCATCATTAGAATGAGATGGACACTTCACACTCCATATCTTATATCAATGGAAAAAAATATCTATAAACTATATACAAATAAATCACTCATTATACAATAATTCTTGTTAAATATTATTAATAAAATAGTATAATTAATCATTTAAGTCTTTATGATTTAAATTTTTGGATAGTACTTGACTCTTAAAAAAAATATCCTTAATCTTTTTCTATCCTATTTTTTAAAACGACATTAAAAGTTAAAGTGAATCAATTTTTACAAAATCAAAAACACAATGTGAACTTTTAGAAGTTAAGAACTAAAACAATTAATAATTTCATAAACTAATTAATAAGTTTAGTTTTATATTAATATTTTCTTCAAATTTTATATCATCATATTTAATGGATATTACTTTGATATCATGTATACTAAAATAAATAAATTAAAAATTTATAGACATATAATTTTAAAATTCATATTTTATATTTTAAAAACATTAAACATTAAAAATAATTAAATTAATAAAATATTAACTAAATTTAAATTTGATTAATTTTTTTTTTGGTAAAGTTTTTTTTTGGTAAAGAAATTTGATTAATTTTAAAAAAAAAAATATTACATAGAATAACTTTAACTAAACTTAAGATGTCAAAATGATAAAATCCAACATTAAAAAAAATATTTTTACGTGGGAATATCCTTTCTAATTTAATAAACTGGAGTGTTTTAGAAAGCTTTTTGCAAGATAAAGAAAAGGAAACAAGAAAATTGAAATCTAAGTAAGCATGAAATATATAGACCACTAAAGAAAAAGGAAAAAACAATGATCTTTCAAAAGTTACCATATGTTACTATTCAATTTTTTTAAAAATCTAAGAAAATTTAAAAAAGAAACATAAATATTAAAAATATATATATCAACCATTTAAAACATGCTATAATCTTTTAAGAACATTCATTGCATATACATATTTATTGATCATTTTTATGATTTATTATAAAATGTTGAATATTAATTATATCATGTAATTTTTTTACTAATTTCATACGATTTCATAATTTAAAAATAGAATAATATATAATAATAATAATAATAATAATAAAGATAGTTTTAAATATTTTATAATTAAAAAAAGGAATAATAGCATATTTAAAGTTAGAAAAAGTACATTAAAATTAATTTTTAAAATCAATATATAATTCTAACAAAAAAAGTCATTTGCATATATTTTATAGTATCTGATAAAATACCTAATTCACATCAAATCTTTGATAACAAAGAAACCTATCATACTCTTTAAATATCCTACTTTTATCTAGTTTTTGTTTCATATCCCACCATACAAACCCTTAATCGATACCCTCAAAACTGGCTCTTATCCGGGTGAAGGAAAAAAGACCAATCCATGTAAATTTTACATCCAACATAAAAATATAGCACTTTATACTAGTCTTGCTATCATTAAAAATAAGGAAGAAAAATTGAACATTATAAAGTTTCAATGTGGCTCAAATTAAGTACGGCCAACACTTCACTGTAACTGGAATCTGAAAGAAACCGAACCCTACCAAAAACGAAGACACGTGATAAAAGCAGACCACCCTTTCAAGGAATAATTTTTCACTTAAAACACTTAGCATCCAGAAGAGCCTCGCCCTCAAAAGGTTCACAGTCTTCAATCATCTGATTGACACGCTCCTTTTGGGCGTCATCAGAGATGTCAACCTTGGTCCATTCGTAGAGCTCCATGTCATAACATTCATCAAGCACGAATTGTGGGATTTCTTGCCCACGGAAAAGCCACAGCCCCTTCACCTTAAATGGTGGATCTGATCCAATCACAAGCATCTTTCCAAACGCATACTTGCGAGCCAAATCCATCCGCTGAAGAAATCCACCAACCTTGTTCAATGTCACAAAGGAAACAGTATTTTCATCATTGTATTTGTAATCACAAAACCAGAGAGAGTATCCCTTAGGATCATACATGTCCCAAAATCCTGCAAGATGAAAGGTGGATTTAAAACGATCTTGCCTCTTCATGTCATAAAAGTTATCAAATTCTTCGAAAGAAAATTAATCATTAATTTTTAATTATGGACTAAATTATACTTTTAGTCCTTTATCTTATTTTTAAGATTTACTATGGTCCTTTATCTTTTAAAATATTTGTTTTAGTTCTTTATCTCTTAAATTTAAGAAAATTTAGTCCTTTTAAATCCTTTTTAATTGATTCAAGACTTAGAAACTTGTCTCATAAGATTCAATTATATAAAAACTATATTGAATGTAATTGAAGTTCAAACCAAATGTGCTATAAACATGGTGAAAATCAAAAATTTCAAAAAAAAATCTAATTCCATATTATTTTCTAGTTGTTCATAAGATATATTTTTCACACAATTTTCATGTTTATAACTCTTTTAGATTCAAATGTCAATTGTATTTTTAGTTTTCATATAGGTGAAATTAATATTACTAGTTTTGCTCCCGAATAAGTCAAAAATTGATTCAAAATTATGTTACAAGATTCAAAATGATCATTGTTTTAAAAGAATCAAATTGATTCAATTATAAAAATAATAAAAGATCAAAATGAACATTTTAAAAGATATAGGACCAAAATGAATTAAAAAAAAATAAAGGACCAAAAGTATAATTTAACCTTAATTATATGCTATAATCATAATCCTAATTTAGGTAAATTTTAAAACGATGACCCCAAAGGAGACACAAGCATGATACCTTTGATAGCAACCTCCCTGAAATTGGTTTTAGTGTTTGAGTAGAGTCTTTTCCACTCATCCAGTATCATCGGACTTGGAGGGAGAAGATCAAGGGGATTCTTAGGTTTGGGCTTGGGTGCCTCCTCTTCTGCTTCTTCTTTGGGCTTTTCTGGCTCCTTCTTGGCCTCTTTCTTTGGTTCATCTTTTCCCTTGGGTTTAGATTCTTTTGGCTGGGAAGGCTTCTTTGCAGATTGAACAGGTGGAATAGCTTCAGTCTGCTTGACCTGCCCAAATATCTTTCGGAAGTTTGGCTGATTGACCAAGGTCCAAAAGTATCTCTCAACATGAGGAAACTCAGAGGTGAAGCTCTTAACCAGGATGTTTGTGAAACCCAAATACAAATTGCATGTCAATACGATATCAGCCAGGGTCACAGAATGCCCAACTAGGTAAGTATTAGAGGCAAGGTGAGTGTTCAAAGCACCCAAAGCTCTCTTCAGTGAAGCAATTGCAGCCTCCTCAGCCTTCATTCAGACACATAATTAAGATCAGGCTACAATATCCAGGTAATATGATGTTAACAAGAACCAAAAAACTTGAACACAATGCACAGACTGTGAGCAGATGAATTAAACACATCTACAATCTTCATTTTCAATACACCATTTGATTTCCAAATTACAAACTTCTTTAGAATAAGAAAAATCCTTGTAACCAACTTACTGGAGGAAGGTACGGTGCTCGCCCAATTCGTGGGATGTACCACTTAAGAATATTAGCATCAATCTCCAATGATGCAAAATCAATCCATTGTTCAACGTGGGCCTGAAACATCAAAATAATAAAATATCAAAAAACATGAGTACATAAGCTAATAGCAAAACAGGCAGCCTTTTCTTCTAGAAGTCACATATACAGTATTAATAATCTACTCCAACAATAAACATTTGCAATAACTTTAGGAGGAAAATAGACTCACATAATCGATCAAAGAAGATCCATACAAAATGTTATCACCATTCAGCCGAGCAACTGCAACAAAACAACAACCCCAAGAAAAAAATAATAATAAATAATTCACATACTCTGTGATATTCGATGCATGAGGATAGACGAAAATGAACATTATTGAGTTAGCTTATGTAAATCCCTAAATCATGGTCTTGGGGTTTTAAAAAGATGATGTAACATTACTTACCGTAGCGAGCGATGGCATTGCTCTCAAATACAGGACCATCAGGTGTTTCCAACACAGGAACCTGGAAGAAGATGAGATCGAATGAAACCGGGGTTTCCATTAGTGTTCATTATAGACATGAGGATAAACACGATACCTTGCCAATAGGATTCATCTTGAGAAATTCGGGAGATTTATTGGAGACACCCATCTCAAAATCTGGGACAAATTCAACTTGGACGCCAGCATACTCCGCTGCAATGAGTGTCTTGTAAGAATTTTTGTTGGTCTTGCCAGCATGCAGGATCTAAAATACAAATCCAATAGATCATCAGATAACAGGGATTGGGAGCAAAAGAAAATATTATGAGTGTACTAGCTGACCTCTTAAGTGAAAATCTAAATGAAAGAAAGTAGTTAATGGACTCACCAGGGCCATGGCTTCAAGGAAAAACTCGCCCCTCTTGATAAAGATCTGGACCTGCTCGTCGAAAACGAAATCTCAGCACGCCGTAACTGAAATGAAAGTAACTAAGTAAGAGATCTTACAGTGCGAGCGTTCTTCCGAAGAAGCAAAATTGGTGCGGTGCGAGACTCTGTTTGGGAGATTCTGCTTTCTTATTAGGGTTTTGTAGCCACCGGGTCGGATCCTTCCCACCCGACTTTCTTTTTAATTACTCTCGCTTCTCCCCATATTCTCTTTTCTTAGGAGTTTTTTTTTTTTTTTTTCTTCTACCAAGTCTTTTTTTACCCATTTACTTCCCAGTAAAATACAAAAATACAATGTTTGAATCTATAAAAAATGTGTTTTGTAGAATGTTGATCAAAATCTCAATTCAAAATTCGCATTCCTTTTCAATTATATTTTCATTTTTCAAATTTAATGTTTCAGCAGACATCTCAGTATGTATTCCAAGTCCATGTTATCTCAAGCTTAAAAGCGCCAAAAGACTCCCCGTCTGAGTAGGTGGTGCGGATACTGACACATACACTCATATCGTTGGTGCAAAGGGTACTTGTGATTTTCCTACCATGGTTGCACACAAGATCAAACCCCCAATGATCTAATACTTTATTTAAAATGAATTTGATGGTGGAATCAATTAAGTTAATAAACATTGACAATGTTTAAAAGTTTTTTAGTTGTGACAATTATAAGAACTTTAACACTCAAGTCATAAGAGAACAAAGTGGAAAGATGAGGAATTAGAGTGAATCATACCTCACAATGTTGAATCTAATGATTATAAAGTCAAAGCAATGTACCACTAGTGTAATTATAAGCATGGTTGATTATTTGTAAAATGTTTGATGGGGTAACAAGTTGTTATAGTCTTGCAAATTGTGGTTTGTCTGACTTACATCTGAACAATTTGATTGAAATGCTTTAAGTGATAACTATATATGCTAAAATAAATTAAAAATTACTATGGATTGAAAATATATAATTAAATGATAATTACATATTGATGAGTGAAAGCGGATATTAAGAGATTCGTATTCATAAGTACTATTACTTTGAAATTACTTACATACTTTCGATTATATACAAAGTAAATTGATTTATTTATTTTTAGTTCTTTTATAGTGCATTATTCGATTTTAATATAGATATATATTTTTAATTAATTATTTTAGTACAAATAAATGTTAATAATAGATTTTTAGTACAAATATATTTTTTTATTTATTTTATTTTATTTTATTTATTACCTTTTATTTAAAAATTAATATTTAATCAAGTATTCATAAATACTCATAAATACTGACAAATATATATATACATATATATATATATATATAATTTGTAAACATCCATTAAATGAATTCTCATGTTATATTATGATGAAAAATTACTATTTGCATCCACTCCACTTAAGTATAACAAATGAACTTGGTTTATGGATATCCATTCAAATCTATCCCAACTTTAATGGAAAAAAAAATCATGTTCAATGGGTTTGGATTTGAGTTTCCCTAATTTTTAAATTTAGGATGGAAATGTTAATATTCACTCTACACCGTCCCATCCATGTACTTGCCCCTACCTTAGTAATAGTATAATTGCAATATAACTTTTTTATATTTAATACATTAAATTGGGGGACATTTTGACTAAAAAGAAAGCTTATAAATGATAATTATTTATTTACTTATTTTTACTTTTCCTCTTACTTGGTTACAAGGTGACGCTTGTTTTTATTTTTTATTTTTTACCTTTTACATTATAAAAAAAAAACTTAGGAAGCAAGGTGGGGACTAAGCATGAAAGTTACAATCCCAACAAGTATATAGTTGAATATTCAAATTGTCATCCCAATAGAGATTGGGATCAAGAGCGTAAAATTCATCTTCGACTTGTTGTCATGCCTAATCGCACTCTATTGACATTCCTAATAATATCAAATCTAATAGTATTAGGATATGGGTGGTTTTATGGTTAGTGTCTCAATTCTTTGAGGTATAAGATGTTGAGTTATAATATCTCAACACATTAATATCATAATGCGCACATCACAATTTACCAATTAATTTGTAAGTATGAAAAATAAAAGCATTTTTGTTTCTTATTACTCATAAATCAAAGAAAACTATTTTTAACTAGCAAATTAAATTTATTGAAAGTTTTAAATTATATATATATTAATAATTAGGAACAATTTAATAAAAAAATTATTGATTTAATATACGAAGGTTGAAGATTTGTTGTATGTGTACATAATGAATGTTAAGTTCAGAATCTAAAACCGTATGCATACTACTTTTTGTCAACTCTGTTAATCCAAAGATTGAAAATTGCTTTAAACAAATTAAAGTTCAACATATTACTGTAAAAATGAATTGTCCAAACAATTGATAAGAAAATATTATTCTAACATGTATTAATTTTGGTATGCTTTTCTCTACATCCGTATCTCATAAATCTTTTTACTCCCTAAGTAAAGTATCAGGTTCAAGTATTATGTATGAAAAAAAAGGGTGATTATGAGTAGAGTCATCCACTAAAAATATTCAGTTAAGTTCCTCAACAAAAATTAATAATCATAAAAATTGTTTAATATTTCATATCAATAACATGGTTAAAAAAAGCAAAAGAGAAAAAATTAAAGAGAATTAATTTTTGTATTTTTATCTAAAATAAAGATAAAATAAATTATATTTTACAAAAATTGAAGCTTAAAAAAGTTATGCAATTAAAATCTTAAATATGATATGTTTATCTAATATTTATCTAACTCAACAAAAAAATCTAATATTTATCTAAATATGTTTTTTAAAGTCTAACTTAACCATTTTAAAAGTCTACTTATAATGTAACATAATAAATAAAGTTGTAAGTATACTTTTGAATAAATTAATGAACCCACACTTATAGGCTTAGTGATTTTATGATATATGTTAGGTCAAATACTTAAAAGAATGATTTATATATAATTGTAAAAAAAAACTTGATTATAATATATGTTAGGTTATAAATTTTTGTAACAAATGACTCACTTAAGTACGATATATGTTTGGGTACAAATTTGCAATGTCTATATTAACTAATTTTCATCTTAAATTAAAGAGAAAAGGGAGAAAAAAATAAATTAAAAAAATTAAATTTTTTTCTAAATATATTTATATCATTCCGGATATAATGTAATATGAATACGACACATTGAGATAAGTATGATAATGAGATAGGTAAAAATTACCTGATATATTATTTTGATGTTAAAAAATATGAACCAAAATTTATCTTTAATAAAAAATAATGTCAAAATATGATATTTAAATTATTTTATCAAATATCAAAATTTTTAATTTCTATAAATTCATAAACAATTAATTAGAAATATTTTAATCATAAGATTGAGACAAATTCCACTTTTAAATATTTTTTACTTTAATGAATTAATTAGATTAATCATAAACATTTTCTGGACTTCAACGATATTTTTTATTCAATCGTCCGCACATACTACTCGTCTTTTATCCTTTGAATTTTGCTCCTTATCAAATGTGTACTGTTTTACACTTGTCAAATATTACTACTAGGTTTAGTTAAAAAGCCTACTTCACAATACATGCATGTCTTTGATATTTTATATGATGTGATGAAATGTCTTTGATATAGGCATGAGAGTAATATTATTCCCTTAAAAAAAAAAAAACAGCAATATTATTGTGCTTTTGCTTCAAACTCAAACCTAACTTTTATTCTGTTGGATGCAGTTTCATTTTCCAGCTGTTTACTAGTGTGGCGTGAAACATGGCACAAAGTGAAGTGCAAATATTTTAAATTTGGTTTAATCGATTCTTAATTTTGTTATCTAATTTTATGAGATGTTAATTGTTAATAAATTTAAAATTAAGTAACAAAATTTAAAAAATCATAAAATATGATAAGAAGGATAATTAATTGTATTTATTAGAAATATTTGAGAAAAAATAATTGGAGAGGACTGTTGAGAGAGTTGAGACAGCTGGAGACAGGCTGGAGGAAGCATATGATTTGGAACAGAGGGCAGACAGGCAGGCAGCAGCCTAGATCCATCATCTCCACTCTCATCTGTAAGTTTTCCCTTCATTCTTTTCCTATTCCAGTTTTTATCAACACAAACCTACTTTCAGATGTTTAAGTGCTACACCTTGTTACCACAATCACATCAATTTTATTCCTGTCCCTCTTCTTTACTCTTTCTTTCTATTGCTCATGTAAATATGCATCTCAGTCACACACATGATTTTCATTTTTTAGTCTTTTGGTCTGTTTTTTTAATAGTTTAATTTAATTTCAACTTGGAATGAAATTCTATGTTCTGTTCTGAATCCAAGTAATTGTGTTCCATTTTATTTTCTGGGTTATATGTATGTATATATAGGTACTTGGAGTGGATAACTTCAGTCGGAGTGATAATGAATGTTCAATAATTGTCTGGTATTAGTCAGTTAATTGTGCGTGGGACATCAGAGGCATGCTATCAGAGAGAGAGCATGCGTGGAATCTGTATTTCGGGTGATGCCCCTGACGAGATTTGTTGCCGATGCATTCAGTGTGGTCACAATCTGTTTAGTAGCCATATTGCTTCTTCTCGGCCTCTTGTGCATTGCATACTCATTTTATTTTCGCTCTCGTATTCATCATCGGGGTTTTGTTCAGCTCAGTTATTTTAGTGGTCCTTGGATTATCAGAATTGCATTCATCCTATTTGCAATCTGGTGGGGTCTTGGTGAGATTATTCGTCTAAGTTTTTTAAGACGCACCCTTCACTTGAAATGGCAGGAATCCATCTGCAAATGTTACATTGTATCAAATCTGGGCTTTGCAGAACCCTGCCTCTTCCTCACACTTGTGTTTCTCCTCCGTGCCCCCTTACAAAAGTTGGAGACTGGAATTATGAACACAAAATGGAACAGGAAGACAGCTGGTTACATTTTGCTTTACTGCTTCCCAGTTTTTGTACTTCAACTTTTTGTTATTTTGATTGGACCTCAGTTAAACAAGAATAAGGGTTACGGGAAAAAGTTGCCTCATTATTTTACAAGTATAAGCTTTACAAAGGAGCATGACATTGCCCTCTGTACTTACCCTTTACTCAGCACTCTTCTCCTTGGCCTTTTTTCCATTATCCTCACCTCTTACCTTTTTTGCCTTGGGAGTCGGATTCTGAAATTAGTTATTAATAAGGGTTTGCAGAAGAGGGTTTACACATTGATACTCTCAGTTTCAGGTTTCCTTCCATTAAGGGTTCTTTTCCTTGGCTTATCCGTTTTATCTGGACCTGAACATTTTATGTTTGAAGCCTTTGCTTTCTTGGCCTTTCTTGCCCTTGTGTGTTGTGCTGGGGTGTGCATGTGCATGCTTGTGTACCGTCCAGTTGCAGATTGTTTAGAGCTGGGAAATCCACAAGAGTTAGAAGCTTGGAGATTCAATGTTAATTATGATGATACCATGTCTCTTATTGCTGCTAATTACCAAGAAGACAATGCATCAAAACATGGATTTCGGACATTGGAAAGGGATGGTACATTTGTTGAACTAAGCCTCTTCTCTCCCAGTCTGACCTATGCAATCCCCAACCCATCACCACCCACTACAAATTGAATATCAAATTTTGTGGGAAAGGAAACCCAGTGTATTATAGGCTATTCAATAAGCCTTTTGTTTTTGTTTTTGTCTTTTAATTTTAAGCATTTTTTACTTTGGAATTCTTAGTAACTTTTTTTTTCTTTTATGTACCATGTCTACAATTTTCTTTTATCCGTCTTTATATTTCTATTTGAAATGATCGAATACTTTTTATTTAATTGTATATCTGTCTCTAAATGATCCTATTATTTGAGTTTGTTTTTTTATTATTTTTTTTATTTTTACAAATTTAGTTTCTTCATTTTAGTTATGTAATTTTAGTTTATTTCTTAATTTGACTTTTTTTTTGTTTTATGCATAGTATTATTAGCATGAAAAAAAAATGTGTTCCTCATCAATATTTAATAGAAATACTAATATAATATTGTTAATTTAACATTCAATATTTGATAGAAGTTAGCATAAAAAAAATGTGTTTGTCATCAATATTTAATAGAAATACTAATGTAATATTGTTATTATTATTTTTTTTGAAAAAGACATCCAAAGGCATCCTAATAATGAAAGAAATTTCAATTAGGTTGAAATTTCAAACACTACTAATGCATACCAAATATTAATTTAACAATATTTGATAGAAATATTAATTAATTAATATCATTGCACATTCACCCACATTAGCACATTTATATCAACATTGTGTTGTTATGTTGCCATTGATGTAAGTAGATAAAAATGAATTGCATGTGAATTTAGTGGTATGTTAGAGTAATATATATAGAATTTTAGTTTAAATTTTGTTGTTATTATTATAATTTTAATCGATAAAAATAGATGGTGTAAAAAAAATTAATTAAAAAAATAAATCAAAATTGCATAATTAAAATATTGAGACATTCATGGAAAAAATTGTAATAAAAAATAAGGATACTAAATTTTAAAAATTATTTATAACTGTAATATTAGACTTTTGGTATACACAATTTTTGTTTAATTTTATTCTTTTGACTACTCTTTAACAAATTATAGCTTTTTTTTTTTGTGAATTTCAATTCATGATCGCCAATATTATAATTAATCACATATTATTATATAATTCTTATTATTTATTATTTTTTTAAAATAATTTATAGAGACATAAAATGTCTTCTATACGCTAATAATAATAATGAAACTAAAAATGTAATTAAGGTATAATGTTATAAAAAAATGAGTGTTGAATTTTTTTAAATTGAGAGTAGAGGAACTGAGAGCTTCGTTATCTTACATAGAGATTTTAATTTTTGTTATAAGATAATTTTTCTTATAATTTGAGTTTTAATTATTAGTTTTTTTTACATAAAATTGTTGAAATAAATTATATTTGCACTTCTTGTATTTTTTTAAAATTACATTGGATACACCTTTATTTTCTGGACTTATAATAAGACTTTTAAAAGTTGAAGAAAATGTTATCGTCTCTTCTCAATTTACAAGTATAAAGACTTGTCTTGATTCATACATTGTATGACACAATTATTAACAATGAAAAAAAATTTAACTTAAGATTACAAAATTACAAATACGAGAAACATAATTTATATTGCATACATATAAATGTGATCAACTAAATAAATATGAGTAATATAAATACACTAATCCAATAAATGTAAACTACACATCTTAAGTTATCAGTCAAGCAACTACTACTGCATATACACATCTACCCTCACCAAGTAGTCAACAAGACATCCTCTAGGTCATACACCACTAAGTGGCCTTTACAACAACATTTCAGTCCTATTCTTATCCTATTCTCATACTACATATGATCATTGCAGTCTAAATCATGTAAAAACACATAAGGGTAAACTAGAGTAAAAAGAAGTAACATATATACAACACAAAAATATCACATCATCATCATTTCATCTTTAACAACACAACTTAAATTAAACATAACAACACATTTCATCATAGTTCAACACAACATATGAACAACAAAATTAACTCAACGCATCATATGCTTAATACAACGACTATATGCATTGTCACACATTTCATTTAGGAGATCTCCTACAACATAAGGTGAACAGTTTGAGTGACTTAACCCTAGCGAATTAACAACACAAGGTGATATAATACATCCATTCACACACACACACACTTTTAATTAAAGTGTATTTTTTAATTCAGTAAAATATATTAATAATAGATTATTTTAAGAGTATGTATTTTAATTGATTAACAAAATGGGATATATATATATATATATATATAGGGGTTATAATAACACCGATGTAACTTTTACTAAATGTTACACCACTTAATAATTCTATATTAAATGTGAATTTTGTAAATCCAACCATTAGATCGAAAGTTTTTTACTCTTAGATCATATATACAAAATTTTATATTAATCTAAAATGATTTGATACTTCATTCTTATAAAACAAAATTGACGTAATATATTCATTTCAAAATATACTAAAAGATGAACATTTTGATTACCTTCAAGTTGTTGCTCAATTTTAACAAAATTTGATATACACGTATAAAATGATATGAACTTTCAATCTAACAGATGAATTTACAAAATTCACATTTAATATAAAGTTATTGAGCGGTGTAATACTTGATAAAAGTTACACCGATGTAATTATAACTCCTATATATATATATTTTGAAATGAATATATTACGTCAATTTTTTTATTTATAAAAATGAAGTATTAAATTATCTTGAATTAATATAAAATTTTGTATATATGATCTACGTGATATGAACTTTCAATCTAACAGTTGAATTTACAAAATTCATATTTAATATAAAGTTATTGAACGGTGTAATACTTAATAAAAGTTACACCAATATTCTAAATAAGAACAGAAAAATAAGTTAAATTAAACATAAATGACAACAAATTGTGTGAGGTTAGTAGTAAAAGCGTAAAATATTTACCTAACTTGTATTAACGAGAAGGGTGACGTTTTTGGTAGTGGTTGCGGAAATTGGAAAATATATGAATATGATATGCAGTGGCAGTGAAGGAAGGGAAGTCCATTTCTGACATTTTAGTTACGCGGACCGTGTCAGATTAAGATTGTTTATTGGCATAACTATTGGATCCAATACAACCTTTCTCTTTCTCTCTTCATATATAAAATAATAATAGTCAAATACACGATACTAATACTGCGCGAATTCTATTCTACTCTTGTTCCTTTCTCACTCAGCTCAGGTATTGCATTGCATTGACTTGGATCATTAACTTTGCTTTTCTTCATCGACTTACACGTATCTCTTTGTTCTAGCCTTCTAGTTGATAACGTTACATATCTTTCATTCCAATTATTCAATGTCTAATACAGGGAAGATGGCAGAAAATGGTTTTGTTCACGATGATGACAAAACCGGCAATTCTTCAACCAACAAGGTACAGTTTGTACTTTATATATCCTTTGCTGGGATAAAATTCGTAATCGTAGTCATCAGTTTTCTATTTTAATTTTAAATTCTTCTGTCCAGTTCTAGTGTTACATCTATTTGCCTACACACTGTTTTGAATTTAATGTCATGCAAGTTTTTTTGCCTTTCAAAATTGAAGAGCTAATAAAATCATAACCGTAGCAAACTAGTTTTGTAATGGATGTTAATTATGACGTAAACATAATGTTTCTGAGCTAGAGGCAGATATAGTCGTTATGCCACTCATTCAATGAAATTCGATATTACTTTTCAATGTGGAAACTAACTTTCTCTTCCTAGAACTTGAAGCATTTAGATAAGTGGATTAGATCCTGTCTGAAGAATAAAATGCTTTTTCCGAAGTGAGTATCCCTTCCAGAAACCTACTAGTAGGATGATTACCTTAATTTAAAAACCGTATACCCATATTTTATAGTTAATTTTGACCTGGTTTATTTAGTAATTGCGATTTCAAATAAAGTTAGAGGACTCAAATCTGATAAATGTGAGATTTCTGAAATATTTACTTACAATTTATGTGAAACTTAGTTGGTACTATTATAATTTCAAGATCTGGCAGGTGATTAGGGACTGTTTTTCCGAGATCCAACACTTTTCGCTCAAAACCATTTCTCAAAATTGATGATCAAGTTCTTTTATATATCCTACGTTGAAATATTTTTTTATGACTGATTTTAACATCTCTTTTTATGCCTAATAAAGGTTGACCCAGGGAAACCTGCTGGACTTACCTGGCAGCGAAAATTAAACAACGAAGGAAAGGCTCCATCAGAATTCACCTTATCTTTAAAAGAGATGATTCATCTGGTAAGCCTACTTGTACAAATGTTGATACCCCAAACGTTCGGTGCACCTTCATTGGTAAAACAAGTTAATATCTTATACAACCAAACTTTATATGAGAATTTAAATCTCAGTGTACCTTGATGCTCTGCTATATTATCCCTATTGGCTATATATGTATCAACTTTCATTTTCTTTCACCTATATCTGTATTATATTTAAAAATTAGGAGCATCAGGAATTTGATAGATTAGCAATCCTTAGACTATTATTTGATTTAATAGGCTCCAATTGGTTATCGGCTATGGCGTCATGTTCGGGAAGAAGTTGCCAAAGGAAAGGTAATCTTGTTTTATCAATATATTTCCATCATATATTGATTTGTGCTTATGAAGCATCCATCTGATTATCTTTCTCAAACTGTTTTCTGCATTTATTTGTTGTTTCTATCTTTCTTGCAGGGCGGGATGATTGATCCTTTTGCCAAGCACCATGTAACATCTTGTCATGGTGTTCCTTTAGGAGGTATTGGGTAGGTCTTCAATCTTTTTGTAAGAATTTCTCTTCCATTTGCTAAAGCCAAAAGATAAGCACAAGATTGTCTAAATTAACCATCCTTGTGATATGAGCCATTTACTGGTGGCTTCCATTTGCTAGTTTTGGTTTGACATATTGTAGTTGTATTATAAAACATGTGCATATTGTGCCTGGAAAATGTATCTCCATTTAGTAGTTTACTGTTAGTATGCATACATATTGCATTTAAGTGTAAAATGTTGATATGTAAAATAGATTTTTATTTCTGTCTCCATCGTATAATATGTCACAATCACACTATATTTGTCAGAAAAACACTAGTCGGGTTGTTAATATTAAGAGTGTGCTTTTGGGAAAAATTATTCTCCCCATTAGGGCCATTCTTATTAAATAGTAATTCGGTAATTGTGCAAGGGAGGGATTATAACAGATGTTATAGAAATTTACAGCATATTTACAGGGAAATAAGTCAAAGTTAAAAGCAAGTGGTTAAAATGTGACAACCTGGATATTATGATAACATCATCATTGGTATCCTATTTATTTTTGCTTGATTTGAGTATGTTCAGAACATTATTTAATAATTCAGTAAAGAATATACACCTTTGGTTGTTGTTGACAAATTGATCTCCAGGTCAGGAAGCATTGGAAGAAGTTACAGAGGTGAATTTCAGCGTTGGCAACTGTTCCCTAGAATATGCGAAGAGAAACCGGTTTTAGCAAATCAGTTTTCTGTAAGTTTGTTCATTCTGTCTAATCAGTAATATACTTTGTTGCTATCTTGCAAGCATTTTAACAATCTTAGCAGTCTGACACTGGCGGCATTCCTTTGAAATTTTTAGTTCCATAT